CACTGAAATTAGTGGGATTCTTTCCATTAACTTTGCTGGCCCTTGGATCTGGCTGATGGGACAAATTCCTGTCTGCTGCTCCTCCAGAAAAATTCTCCTTGATGTCATTGGAAATTCTGTCTAAGGAAAATGAGCAGCATTTTGCCCTAAAGGGGACCAAATTTGGCTGAAAGGTTAGGCCCAATCCTGCAAACTGATAAACATGTTTCCTTGCACATGAGCAGTCTCATTGGGGTGAGGGAGATTATTCACATGCATAAAGTGAAGTACATGTGTAACTATTTCCAAGATCAGGGCCTTAAAGAGCAATATTCTGCCAGTTGTGCATTATTTGATATCAACACATTCACCACAATAAAAATAAAACGAACCGGGATGTGCCCGCAGATCACAGAAGGACAAAGGCTGTGATTGTTACAGCAGTTTGCACTGATCTGCAATCAGTCAGCATGCCTAAGTAAGCAATTGGAATCACACCATGCTAGCCATGCCTTTGACATTTCTTGCATCATGAAACACTGCTCATATCCTAGAACTTTTTGTATTTAAGAGAACTCTCAGCCTTCATCTGAGGGACTATTTAAAGTTCTTAATAAATGAGCAACACACAAAATTCCAAATGGAGCATCTTTCCTCCCCCAGAACCCTTTTGTACATTACCTTTGAATTTAAAAAGAGCAAATTGCTAAAGAAAGGTTGGTCACACTTTATATAACTGGTGCACTTATAAATAATTTAAAAAGCTTAATAAATTAATAGATTTTTAATAAATGGTTAATCAGTTGTTATAGAGTCCAACATGTCAACAGGGATACAATAAAAGACCTGCAGCATTGCTGGCCTCGGCCTATAAAATGCGGTGTAGCCATTCAGGCTTGGGCTAAAGCCCGGGCTCTGAGATCCTGCCCAAGCCTGAACATCTACATTGCTATTTTTAAGCCACACAGCCTGAGCCCGCTGACCTAGGCTCTGAGACTCAGTGGCATGGCTTTTTTAATCACAGTGTAGACATACCCTAAGTTGCTTATGACCATCTACAACACCCTTCTACTGGATATGCTTATTACTATCACATGTGCAAACTCGTGTCTGTAACATACTTACAACATCTAGCAGTCATTTATAAACCCTTGATGAACCATTTATAAATGGAATCAATGTAAAGTGTGATCAAAAGTCTATTATGGATTATATGCCTCCTCTACTGTGAGCAGATTTCGTGAGCAAGGTAAAATATTTCCATAAGGGTTTTTGCTTTAAAATTTTTTGTTGATTAGCGGAAATAACTGCACATTCAAAAAATTTAAACAATACCTACTTCCTCTAACCTACGTTTCTTCTGGTGACTATGAATATATCTTGCGTGTGTGTGCATTTAGTGTTTGTTTAAATTGGGGCTTCCAATGAAGAGTGAGCAGAAGTGATGATATTCTATCACTGTTTTGTGTTCTACATTTACAGCACAATTTCCTCAATACTGCAAACATGCATCTAAAAGCAAGAGCTGTGGCATAAGGAGGAGAAATGATGGGCTGATTCAGACAGCTGCTGTGCCATGATCAGAGAGTGCCAAAACAAAACAAAAACAGGTTTGAAAAAGTAAAAGATGGGATTTGTATAATTGGCCACCAACTTGGCTAACACTAGGGATCAAACTGGAGACCTCCAAAGTTAAAAGTATGAGTCTCTACTACAGCATGAGCTAAAAAGCAAGCTCCTCTAATTGAAAGCTGTTAAGAGGTATACTTTCTCTCTTGGTCAGGCACAGAGGGGTACATATAACACACTGACCAGTGGGTTACACTTGATGTAAGATAAAAAGTATAGGAGTTACAAATATATTACTCATTATAATGGCAAAAATGGGGCACAGGGTCTCTAAGTGCTGGATGAGGAGCAACTGAAGATTTTCTTTTACGGATGGTGAACTCAAGCCATGAGCATTTTCTAGTTATCTCTGAAGAAAGATAGACAAGAACCTCCCTTTTAGGGCTGGACCCTGCAAATTCAGTTCAAAGGGCGTGCGCACCATAGTGTTTGTCAGATTGAGTCCTTATGCTATAAGTTTATCAGAGCAGGCACGGTCTTTATGTGTTTGGAGTGCAGAGTGCCAAGCACCATGCTAGTACAAAATAAATACTAGCAGCGAATGGGAATAAGTGTCAGTTCTGCTCAGGAATCAGATATGGAACACTGGGTGCATGCATAACCGGAATAAAGAAGACTCACGAGCAGGGGAGGAAGATATAGCTAGCAGCAGCCAGTTGCAAAATGGCCACTTTAGGGCTGCACCTGCTTATCTCTACCAAATGTAAAGGGACAGTATGAGAAGGGGATGCTGGGAAAAAGTTCTCAGAAGAGGGCAACCGTGTGTTGAGCTAATTTAGTAAGGCCCAATAAGTTATTAAAGAAACTGAGGAAAGGGGCGGCTGCGTAATAGCACTACTATCACACAATAGATTTATTTTAAATAATTGAAGAAATAAATTATGAAAAATTATCAGAAAACTAAGTATGACATTGCGTATTGTGAAGATTGGGTATGCTGACACAATTGTGTTATTATTCAGCAGATCAATTACACTTTGCAAAATATTCTAGGTAAGTAATTTGGACTATAGTAATTACTTCTGAAAATATTGACTTTGTAAACCTCTTATTTTGACGAGTACTGCATCTAAAACCTTACGAAATGAATTATTTTTTTAAAACTTAAAACGAGTAAATTATGTATTTTTTAAGTATGTGCTGTGACCACATTTCTTCTTATTCAAAGAGGATGCAGCTGAATCAAATAAATGGACAGGAGCAACTGGATGCTAAGTGCAGTTTTCTCAAGTTTAACTTTATACAGAAGCATTTATAGGAATATCAAATGCTACTGCTACTCTAATAATTATTTAATATTTCTTTCCTTCATGAAATTTTGTCCTTTCTGTTTTTCTGTCTCTCTCTCTATAACAAATGCAATCAGGTATGTCTGATTTGTTGTAAGGTGATCTGAAATCACAGATTTCTTTGGCAAGTAGAACATATACTCAATCACCACAGCTAACCAAAAAAGACTCTGTGTACCAGCATACAAAACCAAGAACATGATTCTGGGCTTCACAAGGGGGAGTCAGACAATAAAGGGAGCTTTAATAACTCATTCAGCTTGATAACATGTTCCCTTCATGAAAAAATGGATATCAGTTCAATACAGGTCTGAATTCATGAAAGAGCTAGCTAGGTATTGCCCATCAATTTTTCACAAATTCATCTTTATAGGGGGGTGATTCATTAATAAAAATTTCAATAAAGTTTTGATTCAGCAAACCGTTTAAATATGTGTTTAACACTAAGAATGTGCCAAAGTCCCACTGATTTCAAGGGGGCTCTGGCTCATGTTTAAATGCTTTCCTGAAAATAAATGGACTTAAGTATGTGCTGAATCAGGGCCAAAGGGACTGACTGAGCTCACAACCATGCTAAGTAGGAGCAACTGTACTCAAATTAACAGTTATACATGTGTAAGATCTGAGTATGTACGGTGAGAATAGGCCCTGAGCCACTTGTGGCCCAGGAAAAATGCTGTTCAATACTTGAATAAAACTGGACTCATGATCCTGAGAATGGCAGAGAATTACCAGTTAGCAAAGAGAGTCCTGAAGGCAAGTGCTTTTCTGTCTACCTGCAGGTAATGAGCTATTGTTCATGAATGTAGACAGACAGAAAAATCAGCCATTGTTTACAAGTGTATCAATATTAAAAATCTGAGTTTGTTTTATTGCCATACTTGCATTGGTTGGTGGCATGAAAACTGCAAATAACATTCAGGAAAACTTGTTGGAATAAGAACCACAAATGTATTTTGATGGTATTTGTGACCCCCCTCTATCTGCTTTTCACAAACATCCATTAGAACAACACTTTATTCCTAAAGGGGAAAGGAAGTATCACAAATACCTATGTCAATATTTGGATATGAAGACTTGCACAAATCTGCATTTGCGTGAGTATTCATGCTGGAAGTGTTTGCACAGATATCTTGAAAACTCTTTGTGTGTGTGTGTGGGGGGGGGGGGGGGGGGGGGGGAGGAGGGGGTGTCATTCAGTCCAAAAGACTCAAAACAACAGTTGCAACAAATAGATTGCAAGTAGTGCTTAGATGGAAATATTTTCACAATAACCATTCATCCAGTAATTTTGGACAATGAGCAAATTAATAACAGAAAGAAGTCAGATTGTGGATAGGGGAATTAAATTCGTGGAACATATTATTTGTGCTGAACAGTTCATCCAGCCCTAGACTGTGGAAAAAATTCTGGCTGGTGAGCAAGTTCTGGAAGTCCTTTAAGGTAGTTTTTATAGATTTCTCCCCACCTTCACAGCCATAAAAATGCTGCTGAAATTCATGTGACTAAGATTATTTGCTGGGATTTGTGTGTCATGCAAAATCTTGCATGTAATAGGGCCACAGTATATTTCTAACAACGTCCAGTATCTGTCTTGCAATTCACAACCAATTAACAAATGGATTGACTAGTTCAGATTTTTACTGAACTGGGAGGAAAAAATCCGCAACCACCTACGCTTATGAGGAGATACAGTCCTCATGAATCCAGACCTTCATTCACATATTTCTGGAGACTGCATTTCACACTAAATGAATACAAAATGTTTACAGTAATGTAATATGTCACTGTTAAAAATTTGCAGTATGCAAAATGACTACTCTTCTAAAAAAAGGGGCTATGAAAAATGTTCTTTCTATTGAGAAAAAAATCACCCCTATGATGGCTATAGAATTTCAAATGTATATGAGGCAGATACTATCCTATTACAATACCACATCTCCAGTATTATGACTTTTTCCCTGTCATTCTACTACCTGAGTGATGTCAGTGTAAATTCAGGCACCATTAGTACATTTTTGACCAAACATATACACAGCACTGACAAAGGAGTAAACAACCTTTCAGCTTACCAGTGTATGTAAAAAAGACACTGACAAAATGGAAAATAATAAATTCTTTATGATAAATTAATCCTCTTATTTCTGCACTGCCCCAGAAAAGTGACAAGCTAGACATTATTTACCCATCATTCCCTTTTTAGGATTCCTTTTTCCATAATCCATTGCTATTTACTTTGCAAGTAAGAAAATGGTTAAACTAAGTAGTCAGGGAAGGATCCTCACAATCCTCAATGCCGGTGTCCCTTACTTTCTCTCTCCCTACGCTTTAACTCCTCTTTGTAGCAGTATGAGCAGTAATTTTCAGTCTCAGGACGACCATAAAAGGAACAGTTCTCTTTCTTGCAACGGTTCTGCTGGATGGAATATATTGGGGAAACTGTGCTTCTGCCTCGGTTTTTATCATTGTTCAACCAGATCTGAGGAGCCTCCTCATCAGCATATTCTAAGCAATCTCTAATATCACCAGTATTAAACCCATTTGTAAATGTCTGTGACTTGTGGTCGGTAGGCATGGCGTAGGTCAGTGATTCCACTGTGTTCACTGTACGGATACCTGATATCCGCGCTGGGCTATAACTCTGTGAAGACAGTGATCGATTCTGTTGGGGATAAGTGGCACATGTTTTTAAGGTGCCAACCACTGGCTTATAGCTATCATCTTGGAAGCTTGATGGCTTGGAGTTGACATCATGCAAATGGATAACGCTTTGCCTTTGAACAGGTGGAGTATGGCTATAGTGGGCAGATACCGGAACGGGTCCACTTTTCTTAGCACTATTACTTGGTGAAGAAAATGACCCTGGAGTGGGACTAGTGCGATCTTTAAACTTTAAAACCAGTTGAGTTGTATGGCTTTGAGGCAAGACTGGTGATGCCCTGTCCTGAGGAGATGATTCTAACTTTTCTTTTGAATATGCTTCTTGCTCCAGTTTCCTGCAAGATGACCCATTGAGAACAGCTTTTTTCTCAGCCTCCTTTCGCTTCTGTTCCTGCTCGGCATTGAAGCGCTCTTGGGCACTGGTCAGGTAATAGCCGATCATCTCCTCATGGAACTGATGCCTATGGCTAGTCAGAAGAAGGCCAGCGAAAATAAACTTGCGTTCTCCTTGCATGGCAGCTCTCAAAATGTTGAGGCTGAGCTTTACATCGGTGCTGTATTTCCACGGGTCAGACTGTTTGTCAGAGAGGGATTTTGTGTTTATCTTTTCGGCAGGTGAAATGCTCGCCTTGTCAGTAGGAGAGGGAGTTGTCTTTTCAGATGGAGACGTGCTCGCAGACTGTCCGGACTCCTCTTTGCTCCCTTTGCGAGACTTCGACTTCTTCTCTTTGACTTTTTCTGTGATGTCGCCATTTTTGCCATTCCCTGAGTTTGCTCTGCTCATCTTCCCATGCACTAGCCCTCCCAGCCCACCCATATTCTTTTTCAGCTTAATTCCTAGAGTTTTACTGAGGCTTCCGAGTTTATTGGCAACTGAATCCGTCCTGTTTTTGTCTTTATCTTTCCTCTGTTTGTCTTTTTCCTTTTCTTTACCATTTTTGCCATTGCTGCCATTTGAATTACTACAGATGGAATCTCGGTCTGAGTCCATTGAGTCGGCCAGAGACTGAACATCCTCCCCTGCTGAAGCGGTGGGCGATTCTGGCTGGGCCAAAGGGGCCTGTTAGGGGAAATTAGTTATGATTAGATAGAATAAAATCAGTTTTACACAAGGATTACGTTTTATATCCCCCATCAAATTGCTCTAACTTGTAGCTTTAAATCTACACAGAGCTATTTTAAAGTTTTAATTAACCTCTGTAGCCTACAGGGCCTACAATGAACAAAACAGAAGGTATATTACTTCAGGGATAAGTGTATATTCTGCAACAATATTAGTTTATAAAAAAAATACACTACTGTCAATCACAAAATGCGGACGAGTTAACATTTATTTGGAAATCTGAGTTCTGGTTCATGCTTGAAGGTGAAACTACACAACAGTTTGCACAGAATAGTTACAAAAGGATCCCAAATGGGACACTACAAATTCTTGCAGCTTTAAAACTTGCACATGTTCATTCTAATTTGCAAAATTCTACTCACCCACTTGTTGAGAGTAAGTGACATTTTTTGCTGGGTGAGAGAGTAAAGTTCTTCATTATCATCACCGTCAAAGTAAAGGATTGGTAACTGATTTTATGCCAGGGCTAGTAAATTTAACTACAATTCTGCAAGACTATTAACTTAGTGTCAATTTTGTTCTGAAGAGCAACATTAACACTTAGTTCAAATCTGCACTCCCTCTCTCATACGTGAGATATTTGCCCAGTTTGTGCTCTGTGGTAGCTAGGCTACCACACCATTCTCAAGGTACATCGCTATAATAATTTTATGGGGATTCATGAAAGCCGGACAATAACAGCACTAGCAAATGCTATGAAAATAACAGTTAAGTGACTTGCAAGGTTCCCAAACTATGAATACAGCTCAGTCCTGGCTGGCAACACCCCTACCCTCTCAATTCTGAGCCTCCCCGGAACAGATGCTGCAAATCATACTAAATTGTGAGACATGTCTGGGATAGAGACCAGTGTTCATTAGGGTCTAAGTTGAAATCATAAGCTCATTTATGACCACCGGGATAAAAATAAGTCTCCAGAACTGGGAAAAAGAGACTCTAAAACTACTGCAACAGCTGGCCTCTTTGGTGAAACTCTTGCTAACGTAGAGGGCTGATCCTGTGAGATGATGAGCGCCCAAACCACTCACTCACTACAATGGATATTGAGCATGTTCAGCACCAGGAAGCAACACGTCTTTACATCTGCCAAACAGCAAATATGAGAAGTTTAACTAACCAAAATCCTTCAGAGCAAAATTCATCCCTGTGCAAAAAGCCAGTACTGGGACTATGTCTCAATTAATTCCTCAAAATAAGGCTTAAGTGGTGCATATGCTTGTGCTGGCCCCAGGGGTGCTGGAATAACTTTTATAGTAGGGGTGCTGAGAACCAGTGAACCAAACTGTAAATCCTGTATATATTGGAAACCACTTCAAGCCAGGGGGTGTGACAGCACCCCCAGCACCAGCACCTATATGCCCTCTGCAAAAGGGGCAATTTCACCCTCATTCCATAGGGGAAAAGTTTCAGCTCTGCTGGGGAATTACGATGAGTTATGCCATTCTGCCCATCCAAAATAAACCTGTCAATAATTAGCTTATTACTATCTAGATGTGCAAAAGCACAAGTGAGACAACATTATGCTCTCAGCAGAGTTACTTATACATTGTGACTCAATAAGAACTGGCTCTACTTCTCTGGTATAGACACTGAATCAAAGACACCCATACAAACAACAGAAGGCGCAGCAGTACTCTATACTTATACACATTATATTACAGATGAATATTGGATGCAAGAACAAGGACAAATTTATCATCTTCTCCAACACTAAGGATAAAATCCTGGCTCTACTGAAATCAATAGGAGTTTGGCCAGTGACTTCAATGGGTCCAGGATTTTCCTCTAGGAGTTTTCTTCAGTTCAGTTAAAAACGAGGTTCACAGTTGCTTTATAAAACAATGTCCACCCCACATTGCAGAAGAATGAAAAGCCAGCCCATAAGCCTGTCAGCTAATACAATAATAAATAATAATAATAATTAATCGAGATGGGGCTTGTCTGTCCAGACAGATTAATTCAGTGGAAGCAAAGGGGAGGTGGTAGGTAACACCTCAATGGGACCAGACATGATTCACGAACAAGGGGGGGAAATGAGGATCTGTTAATGAAAGGGATGGGCAGAGAGTATGTGGGAGGAATTGGAGCTGACAGAGGGAAGAAAGGCTCTGGAAGTCTCTTACTAGGAGTGGCGCCTTCAATGAACATACACTGCACCTTGTAAAACTAATTTTTTCTCCTGCAGACCTTCGCTGTTTCCCCTGAACCCTCAATTTCTCTTTTCAACCCCCGGTTGAGCTGGGTGCCTAATTACCTTTGTCCTCACCCATCAACTTTTTGACACTAGATTAACCCCCATCTCCTTTAATATGATTTGCATGGGAATTGTGTGAGAGAGATTCAGCGATGAGGTCCCAGCTGTGCACCATTTTAAATAGCTTCCTCCTCCCAAGGTGCCAGGCTGCCATTTTAGCAGCAGTTTGTGGCCCTGTCAGCCACTTTCTAATGTAAAAGTGGAGCTATGAGCTATCCAGTGGTCCAAATTTAGTTCTTATAAGAGAAACTGAGTTGAAATTGGATTTTTAGACAGTAAAATGCTGCTGAAAGGGCAGCTGACCTTCTGGGAATATGGGAGCATAATGCAGAGAAGGGCCTAAATAGTTCAGGAAACCTTTAAAAATAAAGAGAGAATTAAACAAACAAACAAACTAGAGAAAAATAATTCCAAATAGTTGAGTTTTACTAGAAACTACTTTTCAAAGTGGAGTGCATGCTGCAAAAACACCCATGCAGCTGTGTGTGTGTGTGTATGTATATGTATGTGTGTGTGTGTGTTTTTAAAGAAAATGAGATGGAAAATTTACAAGCCTTATTCCAAAATCAGTGAGCTACACCAGTCTGTGTGCCTTTATTGGCTATTGGTTCACTCCTGAGGTGGCACAAGGCAGGTAGCCGAACCCTGCAATCTCTGCTATGAACATGCCCTGTTGTGGCTTATTTCTCTTCTGTTGTTTAGACGGGGGGAAGGGTTACCCGTGTTTCAGATGGTATGCGTATCCAAGTTACATTCATGTAGCTGTGCAGGAGATTAAGCTTTGCCTCCAGAGACAGAATCAAGCTGAAGAAAAACAGAGGAAAGAGAACAGATGACTAATTCGTTAAAAATACATCCAAGGAAAATCAATACTCACACTTCACCGCAGGAGAGAATTTGCATTGTTCAGACTAACTGCAGCTCACGGCATGTTAGTAAGGTTGAGAACCACCCACCTCTTTTTCCCCAATAAAGCTCTCTATTAGTGAGTGTCCCGGAACATAGATCAGGCTTGATGGGTTCAAGACACCTTATTGTTAAGATTACAGAGAGTTCTTACCTGGCCAGTCTGGTGTTATCATTGTCATCTTTCCCCCACTCCCAGTCTTTCCCAGGATCAACCGCAAAGTGCAAAGGCAGTAACTTGTGTTCAGAGTCAGTCAGAGGGATCACCGCTGAAGAGAAGAAGAAATCAGGAGTGAAGAAATGGGTTTAGCTGGGAAAAGCATAGAAGAAATAATTGGCTGAAGGAAAGAACCAGTACAGGAATATGGTGCAAAGGCCTCTTATACTCAAAACAGTCTCCCAATTCCTGTGTGATATGTGCCACCTCTCTCCTCTAAACCCAGGCCTTTTGTGAAGCATTTTGACACTGATTCCCACCCCCCCCATCCATAATCTCTGGTTCTGTATTTGTCTGACACTGCATTCAGTGCTGTAGCCTGTACTTATGCCAGTAGTCTCACTGCAACTAATGAGACTAATTGGCATGAACTAGGGCTACTGCCATGAGTGAGAGTTGAAGGATCAGCCTCTTAAGCCTTGTCTACACTACAAAGTTGTACAACTTTAACTCTACTGGTACAGTTAAAGCAATACAACCCCCTCTAGTGTGGATGCAGTTATACTGTATAAACAGGCTTATACTGGTATAGGTTATTCATGTATGGGAAGGGGAATGAGCTATACTGGTATCAAGGACCTTTATTCTGGTATAGCTGCATCCACACGAGGGGTTCTACCAACATACCTGTCTGACACCACAAGCTATCATGGTTATAGCAGAACAAAATCTGTGTGTAGACCAGACCAAGGAAGCTCTTTGGAGCAAGGACCCTGACATTTTGTAATGCACAATGTACATCTACAGGGATATATTACATTATAAGTATCAGTAATAGCTGAAATAAACCCCCCATTTTAGCACCATGCAGATTATATATACAAACACACCTTATATATACAATATACATAATGTGCGTGTGAGTGTCTTTCATAGTTAATACCTTTTCATTTTTCACTGCTAAAGAAATAAAAGGTTGATAATTTGAATCTAAATTCTTCAACTGTTGCTTAGGGCATGAACAAGGCTCTGCCATCCCTGTCTATTCTGAGCCACTCTTTGCATGTTCTCAATATGTTCTTATGGCCCATAAAGTTGATAAGAGCATTCAAAATTGAAACATGAAGCAGAGAGGGAGTCTGGAGATTTCTGACTCAGGCAATGATTGCCAGTTAAGGTATTTAAGAGCCTGAGGCAAAGCTCAATGCATGATCCAGTCAGCATGCTATTTAAGGACTGCTCAAGCCCATGGAAAGGATCACTGTTACTGGGCTATCCCCCACTGTTGTTTTCTTTCTTTTTGCTGTTCTGCCTCCTTGGTGTTTGCCTCAGGAATGAAGTTTAGCAGCTGTGCTGCGTACTGAGCATGCTGAAGACTCTACTACAATACGTTTTATAGATTCTTAATTGAATACATTGTGAGAAATGTAATGGAGGTTTGAATTAAAATTGGCAATTTTCTTCTGTTTCACTTTTTTTAAAAGATTAGTCTCTGTGCTAACATATTGTATGATGACGTTTAATATAAAGCTGTTGAAGGGGGGCTGGGAAGGGGACTCCTCTTTCTCAGATCTCTGCAGCCCATTACTGCTCTAGTGACATCCAATCAAGAAATTTAATTTTCTTTAACATTAGCCTAAATGACTTACTGTAAATATTCACCCAAGGAAAGCCAAAGGGCAAAGGGACTCCGAAAAGCCAGCCAGCCACATGGCAATGAATAATTCAGAGGTTATTACCTTTACCATAAACAATACTTAACTGTTCTTTTCCAGCAGCACAGACATATACATTAGCAACACTGGAAGATGGAGTATTTCTGGATAATTATTGTTGATCACAGAATAGAATGCAGGATGTATAATCTGCACTTGTAACAATAATCATGCTGAAATCAACTATTAATTGTGCCTGATTTAGACATATTTGATGATGACTCCACTATAAAACTATTTTTTGCCTCTTGTTTAATTTGATTTTCTACACAAAAGAATGGGGGGGGGGGGGGAAAGAAAGGGAATGAGGAGGAAAGCAAGAATTGTGTACAAATTCTGTGCCAAGATTGCCCCCTACTGGCAATAGAGTACAATTCTTTATACTGTAGTACATTTTTTTTGTCCAGGTTGTTCTTGTATGAAATATAAAACTGTGGACAATTAGTCAGTTTTAGCTGCATATATTGCCATTAGGTTCAGGTATGGAAATAAGTATTGTTAGAGACTTTAGCTCTTTGAATGACAAGTATTTTGTCATTTGGATGACAAGTATAGTATATGATGCTGCAATTCAAAATTAATTGGAGAGTTCTGCATCAGAGCCACCAAGTCATTGCCCTATGGAGCACTCCAAAGGGCAACAGTACCAAGTAGAAGTGATTACTGGGCCTGATCCCAATCTCATGTACACTGATGTAAATCAGGAGTACCTCCACTGAATTCTATGGCATTATATCAGTGGAACATCAATGATGGAGTGAAAACAAAATCAAGTCCCATGTGTTTTGAGTGTCATTTACAGTCCAAAAAGTAAAGTGCAGTCAGAACTTATTAAACCTATGCAAATTAAGTTAATTAAGCAACTGTTATGGACTTAGGCTTTATTATACTCCTCACAAATATATTAAATCAGCACGTTACAGAAAGCAAGCAAGAAAAGAGCCCAACTAAGCCAAGGATAAACACATGCCCAGTCCTGGTGGTGCATGCTCTTGCAGAGCACAGACTGTGATTTGTGAGTTGGGACGTCACGACATGGCTTGAAACCAAAAGCCCTTTACTATTGTCATTTAGTTCCTCCCCGGAAAGTAAATGCACCTTGAGAAACAAAAACATTTAGATTTGTTTGGTTTCATTGTAAGAGAAAATGACAGGTTACAATGAACAGTTTTCATACACAGATTTCAGAGAAATCCATTAAAATGAGCTGTTTTTATATATAACATTTTTATTGATATTTGTAAAAGCTATTTGTACAAATCATAAATTTGGCCTAAACTGTCCTGACAGAGGCCCTCTAATATATTTTAATCAGTAAACAGATACATTAAGGGTTATAATATTGTACCATCTCCATAAATATGCACAGCTTCTGAAGCTCCTTTCACCTGAATTTTTTTGCAGCCCTGTGATGAGAATATAAACCATAAACTGATTCTTGTGGGTAGTTTGAGGTTAGGATGAGGGAATATTACTCTCTTCATGCACAGTTTAATAGCTAAGTCTTGAATCTTTAAAATTTCACTGTGCTGCCTGTTTCGTAAGGTACATTCTATTCAGTAACTTTGATTTCCTGTAGGTGAGATCCACCTTCCGGTATGACAGAAGCAATTGTAAAGTTCAAGGACGGTAAGTAAGACACTTCAGACTAATTTCTAGAGTGAACATGGTAGGTCCAAGTACCCTGCAATTGCCTACCTGCATAATTTGTGGTTGTTTGCTGCTTCAGTATGGTCAAAGGCAACAGAGGGTCCTGTGGCACCTTTAAGACTAACAGAAGTATTGGGAGCATAAACTTTCGTGGGTAAGAACCTCACTTCTTCAGATGCAAGTAATGGAAATCTCCAGAGGCAGGTATAAATCAGTATGGAGATAACGAGGTTAATGGTCATGGAGTATGGTTAACGAGTATGGTCAAGGATTTTCTTTTGAACAGTCCTAGCTGAAACCTTGCTATAACTCTGTTAACAAGCCCTGCTGCAGATTGGACAGGTCAAAAGTCATTGCAGCTATCGATGAATGACAGCGTTCAATGTCCACCAAGTGTACTTTTTAAAAGTATTTCTAAAGCTATTTGCAAAATAACATGCCCAAATAGGTTCTCTCCAGTGAACCTTTATGATAAATGTATTATGGTCAAAGGACTGTTGTCATACAACTCACAATTATTATTTCAACCTGATTATGAGGAGTCATTTCACTGCTGGCTGGTTGACAAAGCACTTCATTGTAGTGTGGGAGCTCTTAGGTAAGCCTCATGAAACAGTCTCTGCCCCAGTTGGCAAATGTTCTTTTTTTTTCTGAATATATGAACAAAGACGAAAAACCTGGATAAGCAGCCTGTGAGGAGACAAAACTATTGGCAGGTTCTAGCCAGCTGATATATTTCACCCTATAGGACCCAGTTTACAGTTAATGGAACTACCCAATGTGTTGATCAAAGTGATAAAACTCAAGGACATGTCAAAATGTGTTTCAAGGAAACCACTGGTGACAAATATGTTATAAAATCCTCTCCAGACAAACAGGGTTCCTCCTGAGGACCTGTGAGCAAGGTAACCCACCTTTATCTCCTCAGTAACTGACAAATTTTGCGACATATATGTACAGGAGTTGAACAAATTTAGATATGGGGTATATGAGGGCAAAATGATAAGTCACTGGGGTTTCACCTATAAATGCTAATGGAGTTTTACTTATAAGTCAAAGCTCCAGATTTCATCTGGTGAGACTACATAGTCCAAGTAAAACAAAATCAATCAAAGCTATCTTTCTTCCAAAGCTCTCAAATTACATGATCAATGCTATTCGTATATGGAGAAGAAATCTTTATTACTGCCTATAATTACACTGTATTTATTTAAAAAAAAAAAAGCCCAATTCTTAACAGACGTTGATAGGCACAAATCCCCTCTATTCTCAATAGGACTATGAACAATTTTTATGTTTTTCTTTGGTATTTATTTAGGGATAATACGGCCTGGTGGATCTGACCCTCGGAAGATTACCTCAGATAGGGCGTTCCTGTGGTGATATGGTACATCATTGTGTCTATCACTCACTCCCTGCCCCAGCTGCCAGTGTGGCAAGGAAAAAATGGGTATGAGTGGAGCATCTCTCTGTCCATCTAATTCCTGGCTGTCCTAATAGTATCTGAAGAGCACTGGCAGCTGCATATACTACATTAGTCCTGAGGCTGCTGTACTATTTATCAGCATTCAGGCTGGAGCCTGAATGGTGTAGCATTCCCACCACCCCAGATTTATGCCAAACATTGCTTGGCTGAACCACATGTGGACTTGCACTAGCATGCAATACAAAACCAGGTCACACGAAATACTACTTTGATTCAACTGCCCCTGTGGTTAGCCTGTCACTGTCTTTGCTTGTATGATTC